TCTCATTCAGTTTAGGGCAATGCAACAACAGCAAGCGGCCCAGTAGGCAATTTTAAATGAAAACAGTACAAAAACAATAGCAAAAGCACACCCACGCACACTAATTGATATTATTTTAATGGCAAAAGTTTGAGAGCATATTTAAGAACATACGAGTTCGGTAGTGCCATGCTATTTCAGTAATTCTGTATAGGAAAGTAACCGGTATTTGCATTCTAGACTCAATGGTCATTACTACTAAATTTTCAAAGTTATGTTTAAAAAAAATTTCAGGTTAAGATTACATATATAGCATCTAACTTCACAAATCCTTAAAGGCTAATTAAGGCCATGTTCGAGTTCGAGTAAATTGGGGTAAAGTAAATTGAAACATCCTAGGAATTTTTTGCACTGCATTTAAGTAAATATTTATTTATTTATTTATTGCACTTATTTATTGTTTTTAGTTAAAAGTTTTCAAATTTATTTATTTATTAAATTTTCAAAGTGGCAACACCTAATTTACCTAATTTCTATCTTATTTACCCTACTCGAAATACCAACATTCGCTGCCATACCGACATAATTTAATATTTCCCACAATTTACCATCAATTTACTCGATTTGGCACACGGCCTAAGTAGTTTCGCTTAGGCCGCTTATATATCTGCTAAATAGTCTTCATAGTATACATAGTCTTCTTGGTTACAAAATACATATATTTATTACATACATACATATTCAAGCTTTATAAGATAAGTGTATATTAGGATCAAGAAAATAATCCTGATTATTGTAAAAGACGATTATAAGAGGACATATTGGAAAATGGAAAAATTTGAAAAAATGTACTATTAGTATATATTAAGATTTGTAGATTTTGCTGTGATGAGGAAGAGTGTATGGAACATCTGATCAGCAACTATGATACATTATGGTACAGAAGAAATGAAATTTTAGGTGGATACTAACTAGAGAATGAAGACCTTCGAAAATTTGCTCCGAAGGAGCTGGTGCGACTTCTCAAGATACTAAATGTCTAAGTACAAAGGGGTAGACAATAGATCAAGCTGGTCGCAGTGCATAGGGACCCAAAACTCCTTAATGCCATTGATCATATTAAGATCAAAGAAGCCGTCATCCTGGTTGTTAAATACATTAAATTTTAAACACATAAAATTAAATAAATTTAGTTTTTAAACTTATTAAGTAAAAATACTCGAATACGCGTTGTATGGTCAACCAAATATCAATTAATTAATTGGAAATTTTTGTTGTTATTTCTTCATTATTGTTCAAACCCTTTTAATTTCTTTTCGTCATAAGACGCGTCACATTTGACAAAAAAATTAACATCTTAGATAGTTTTTTTTTGATATCGTATGGCATTTTGGATTAGTAAATCTGGATTTACTCTCAATCATTTTTAGAATAATCTTACGTTTTTGTAAAAGTGTTAGTAGACATTCCTATATTTTATAAATACTTACATATATCAAATCACACCACACTTCTTTTGTCAAGTCACATAAAATAGCTGTTAATTTCAGGGTAATCTTGCTACTCTGGCAAAATATCTAAATTGATCTCGAGTGTTACATATTTGCCTTGAGATTTACTAATCAAGATTGAAAACTGAAC